GTGTGTGTGTAATTCGTCAGTCTCCATCAACCACCGGTGCGAAAATGCGTTGTAGTAATAATGCCCCTCGTGCCCGACCAACCCCCTCACCACCTACCCTCGATACATTAGAATTCATCCACGAAGAAAGGTTTATCAACTGTTGTCTTTGGTAGAATCTTATTATAAAAACACACATATTGTTGTGCCCCTTACCAATACCGGCTACAATATATGAATATATATATATTATTATAATTAAGTGTGAATTGAATTAAACACGTGCGGTCAATGACTGAGCGCAGAGACACCGACGCGCACAACTAGAGCAGAGTTGAACTCACAAAACGCGATTTGATCGGTTCCCAAGTTTTTCGAGACATACACGTTACACACACTTTTTGATCTGTCTGTAAGTCGGTAAATTTATATACAGAGTAAACCGTCGCAGCATATCGTGGCGATAAATCAAACGGTACCGCGCTATTCTGGCGAATAATAATAATGAAAAAAAAAAAAAATAATATCTATATTTATGTATATTTCGCGGATGCCGCCGTCGCCGAGGTCGACCCGAAATAGAAACCGACGTTGCGAAATTCAATCAAAAACTCCAATACGTTAAATCTTAAAACAACACAGTTGCTGGCCGCGACGATCCGGACCCGCAGGCTTTTCATATTTTTAATATTAGGTAGGTATATGTAAAAATAACAAGACGAATCTCTGATGATGATGATAATAATAATAATATTGATATTTTTAAAAATAAACTATCTAATTGGCCGTTTTTATGACATTTTATCTCGTTGAACCCGTGGTGGTCACACAGATTTCGTTTTCAGTCTTGGGGTTTTCCATAGATAATAAAAGTATTGATTGTTTTTAATATCTACGGTTTTTTTTTACTGTACGACGCGCGTTCAATAATTAACGTCCAACGGTTGTTGTATAATAATTGAATTACACCGGTCGACCAGCGTGTGTGTGGTCACACATTTGACATGATTTTCTCGAAGAAAACGCTCAACGAGCAAAAAAAAACCTACATCCGGTAATTTCATTATGTCCGGCATATAGGAATTGCGCCACAGGAAACACATATCATTATGTCGCTCTTGTTATTTTAACGCCAACCGGGCTGTTTCTTCTTGTATTCTACGCGGACGCTTATGGAATATTTGACGAGCCGTCTTGTGTTGACTTTAGCGCATCTCCTCCGAAGACAGCGCTTGTGTAGATATGATATTTTATACCAGTCGGCTAAGGTAGCAGTAGCAGCTCTGGACGGGTTTTTTCACTGTCAATGTACACACACAATACCTGTACACCTATACGTGCACAACGATAGCCGATTGGCCGGAATCGGTCCGTCCATTGGGGCGTGGTCGTGAAAGGATACATTATAACACTACTATGTGTGTGTGTGTGTGTACCTAACCGGCCTATATTATATGTATATATGTATATATAATACACGTTCACTTTGCCTGGACAATGTGTGTTGTACTTGCTGTGCGGCGTTTGCATAGGTAATGAGGTGCGCATAGCAGAGGTTTATATTATTATTATATTCACAAACCGTGCACTTATTGTTTTTGTTCTCGAGATGCAGATTTAATCGATTTATCGCCACCGCGTCCGATCTTTGCTGCCATTTTTTTTCTTACATACCTATATAGCTGCTATTATCTATTTGTATTGTCAGATGGCCGTGATCCGTTTTCGCGGTCAGCCTTTGACTTGAAACGGCCAAAAGTAATATTATGTCCTAATGACGGACCGTCGTCGTTGTATATAAGGTAGGTAATATATTATAATATAACCGACCACGTCGACCGGAGATAAATTATTTTGCGCGTCCCGGTTTCTTTTTTTAAATGTATAATATCACGTGTTATTACCACCACCACCACCACCACCACCGTGTGTTCGGTGTCTGATTGACAAAGAGCCGACCGAATTCCACAAGCTTGTTGGTGCGCGTCAATAGTGGCAAAAAAAAATCCCTATATAATAATAATATATACCTTATTCCGTTCTTTTGTCAACCAGTTCCTTGGTCCCGGGTCCTCCACGCCCCCGCTTCCATAAATCATCGACACCTCTCGATACACGTTGGCAGACAATGGCCGGGCAGATCGTGGAATTGCACAATATGCGCGCCCCTGTTGATCCGAACGCACCCATCATCATTTATTATCTTTAAGCTATATTATATACGCCGTGTTTCAATCGTCCGTCGAATAATGTAACATATTTATATATATATATATCACACACACACACACATAATGATTTACGGGTGTAGATCACGGACGTTATTAATCAATCGGCCACCGGTCGGCCATAAATATAATAGTATGTAAGATTTGCGACGCGCCTCCTAGACCCTGTCCTGTCATACCTTTATCCGCCGGTCAGCGTCGTCGTCGTTAGTTACACACACACACTATAATAATATCAGACCAACCGTGTTGTAATTTCAAAAAAAAAATCAAGAAAATTCACAGCTTAAAAATGACAAAGGTTAAAAAACCAGAGCTAGCGCACCGATTCAGTACATGACTCATGACGTCATGGTTTTTGTTTACATGCATATATATAGTCTCTGGTATAGGACTATTATACTTTATACCCGCTAATTGACTCACAGTGTGTTCTCGTGCGCTACTGTCTTAAATATACCACCTCTGTGGACTGTGTGTGTGTGTGTGTTTGTGTTACAGCCCTCTTATAATATTGTTATAGCGCGATTATTAGCGGAATTAATTTGCCCCGCCGTTGACGGATTGTCGACGACGGTAAAGGGTCGGCTGTGCTGTGATGGGTTGGCCGACAAACGTGTGTATTAAACACAAGCGGTTGTGTGAGTATGGGCGAGGGGCTATGCCGTAAGGGGGGAGCCGGGTGACTCGGGCAAAGGGGAAACGGCGTTATGCAGGCACCGCCGGCGGTAACTTAATGTTTAATGACATCACGTTAATTGGTGTGCGGTTACCACCCAAACGTTGACAATTAATTTACCAGTCTGTTTGTTTGCTTTGGGCCGTGTGACGGCGTGTCGCCCAATTTAAACCTCCAAACAACATCATATTGTAACTGTTTTTATGTACATCACAGACATAGCATCGCATTCTCCTTGGCAACTATCTTGATGGACAGAGAGAGAGAGAAAGACCAACACAACCAACGAACTAGGTCTGATAATTTTACAAATAAAACCACAGATATGTTTTATTGCCAAGTGTACACGCCGCCAATAGGGATAATTGAAGTTACCCTGTCATCTCTGTGGGAATTAGAACCTTATCAGGTGCTTATAACTGTTATCACTGCTTAGAACAATTAAAAGCTAAGCTGATCTAGCAATCTAGTTTATCATACGTAAATATATCTGTGAATAAAACGGACAAGCTAATATCCTCCGATAGCTGCTAAGTCGGTGTTACTTAGCGCGGTGTAACGTTGGCGCTAGACGGTAGAAGGAAAACAATTAAAAGAAGCTTGTGACCATCACGACCCCAAAGCATTATCGGCAATTACCGTACACTATTATCGTATGGCCGTGTACTTGGCAACACAATAGACGATAAATCAGACCAATTAAACACATATGAGCGCAATGTTCTTTTGTACATTTGTTATTTTCAACATTCCTCACACACACACACAAACTATTGCTGTGTAGGTACACGTTACACTATGTGCCACGTTGGTAATTGCAGCTGATGTTCAAAACACACTCAAAACTTTGTAAAAACTTCACACAAGCAACGGGTCGTGCCGGCGGGGAAGCAGCCGTCGGTGGTGGTGGTGGTGGTGGTGGTGGTTGTTTTTAAGTTTTCATAAATGTAAACCCATTTGCTGCTGTGCTCTTTGGCGTTTTTATTATCGGCCGACCGATCTGCGAGGCGTTAAGACAATAGGCTTTGGGTCGTGACGACTTCGGAGACAGGTTCGAGAGACGCACCCCCCCCCCCTCGCTTCTTTTGGCCGGCTCTCCACGGTTTTTTTTTATTTTTATTGTTTTTACAACGTGCGCGCCCACGCTATCTACGGCCCGGGATCTTGAGGGTTTGTCGGTCCGGAAAATTCGCGACCCCCATTGTCTGTCGTCTCCACGCTGTGGTGCTCTTAAGACAAGGGCCTTACTAAATATACTCTTGTACTCGCACACACACACACACACAAATAATATTATAATATAATGAATTCCACCACCGGATCTCTTCTTCAAACGTTTTGTTCTCTCCTTCTTCTTCGTCTTTTTGGCATTGACGACGACGTTTTATTTTTGTATTTTTAAAACGCTCGTTTTGATAAAAAAGACTTACGCGCGTCTGGTGAGATAACATAACAAACTCGGTCGTCGACGTCTTCGTCCCCCTTCTCCTCCCTTCCTTTTCGCGTCTTTTTAGTCCCTTTTTTGTTTCGTCCGAACGACAATATAGAGACTCGTTCGCAGCGCAGTAACTAGCAGTTAAAAACCGTATATATATATATATATATATATAAATGTGTGTGTTGTACATTCACACCAGTGTACAATGTATATTGGCGTTAGTTTAGTTGGTATAGCTTCGTCCGTGGATACAAAATAAATGTGTTTAAGGAGGAAGAGAGGTTCTTATCTATCTCTCTCTCTCTCTCTGTGTTGGTTGCTCTGACACACTCGTTCGCTCTTAAAATCATTGACAGCCCCGGCAAATAATAAGTACAAACGACCCGTCGTTCGGTGGCAATTTGACGACGCATAGTTAATCTAAACGTCACGACTTGACGGCGTAACCCATTATTTCAAATTAGACCGATCTTAACACGGCCATGGGCTACGCTGACACGGGCCCCCCCTCCCCTCCCCTCGACTATTTTGTACACGTCCGTGTGTGCTTTTACCGTGTAAACTTCTAAGTTATAGTATGTGTTGGCTGCTGCAAGATTTACACGTGTAGTAGTACAGTAATTATTATTATTATGCACCTATACTAATGTTTGTTGTCGGTTTTGTGTTATCGCAGGGGAAGGAGGTGAAGGCGAAGAACCGCCCGCGGGTTACCAAGAGGACGACGGCGGTTGTCCGGAAGACGACGAGGACGAGGAAGAAGAAGAAGAAGAAGGCGTATCCGGCGGCTCTTCCGGTTCGCCGCCCAGATCTCCAATCCCGTCCAGCACGGACGCGGACCAAGACGCGGCCAACTTACCCTTAAGGTGAGTGTTCCTTAATAAAATCATCTAGTATACTTTAGTAGAGTATAATATAGCGTGTCCTAGAATGTGTGGTTATTCATTTATTATGTTTAATGTCTACATGTAATAGATAATAATATAGTTTGATTTTGCATACAGCTATAAATTAATTTTAATGAAGTCAAAATAGTAGGGTCGCCAACTTTATGTTAAAGATAGTGAAAATGCTAACACAGTAAAAATCAAGCTCAATATAAGTAACATAACAAAGAAGAATAGTACAACTAAATTGAACAGTTCAACTATATTAATAACTTAATGGTTTGTCGAAACCTTCATAGTGTGTTATGTTAATTATATTATCTATTTATATATATATTTTTTTTAAATTAAATTATCGTTTCATTAACGTTCACTAATGGCGGCGTCCTATATTTTATTATTGTAATTTTTAATTTCGGTCGAAGATAATATAGTATTATTAACATACCTACACAATTATATAACGTTAAGATTTATGTTGCCAACGCGTTCTATATTTTACACGATTTGTGTAAGCTGTTTGAGACCTTGACATTTATATACCGTTGCCGGCAAGAGACGGTTTGCGTCTGTCGTCGATCAATCCGGTTTAGAGCGTGTGTTATCTATCTGTCCTATCCGTTCAGGGTAACCACAGTATTAGTGGTAATTAAAAAATATTAAACGTCGGCAGTACAAAATTAAAAAAAATATTATTTCTCGGTAGTGACGAAAACCAAAAATCGAATAGAAAAAATTACGCAGCATAGAAACAACAATTATTAATGTCTTTCCCAATTATTGAAAATATCTGTTTTGTATCTATCATTTCTCAGTTGTATTGTTACAACATATTGTGTAGGTCTAATTTCTACTTCACACAGACAGGCAAGACAGTGTCGTCGCCTAGCGGTAATGTGGTGTTCACTACTGGAGATGAGGTCGGTTTTGCCACAGCTACTGTCGTTCATTTGAATTTTCATTTAGTCTCTCTCCCCCCCCCGGGTCGGGCGGGCAACTCTTCGACTGATTTACGATAATGGCCCCCGGGTACCGCCCCTCTCCGTCCCGTGTATATGTATAGGAGGATAATTTCTTCTTCTTATTTTTTTTCCCCGTTTGTTTCGCCTACGCCGAGCCAAAGGAAGTTAGTGGCGCTGCTGCTGCTGCGAGGGAGAGATGCCGAAAAAACCGTTATGACCTCCTCCCCGCTGGGAACGTCAACTTTGTGCACTACTTGGATTCGATAATTTTTAAAATATTATATATCTCTCCTCGGGCGCTTTGCTGCTGCTGCCGCCTCTCGAGTCGTTTCCCCCTTTTTGCCTGCCAAGGTGGCGGCGGTGGCGGGGGGTTCTGAAAAAGACACACACCTTGTCAACTCGCATTCGTGACGGCATTATATTACAATTATTATTATTATTATTATTCCAACGAAGAAACGCTGCTGCGCGCCATAAATTGGTTTTAATGTGGCCGGAGTTTGTTGTTTTTGCGCGCAAAAGTCTTGCCAATATGAAATATCGTTCATTAATCTGTCTTGTTAGCCGGAAATTATTGCGCCGACGGAGAGGATCCAGTTCCGGAGACTTGAGAAAATCATCCCGACCACCCCCCCCCCTGATCTTCTCCCGGAGTTGCCCGAAAAAACAGCAGGACTCGCTCTCCCTTATTAATATATATATATTATACATCTGCTGCTGTGTCTACGTATATAGGCACCGGGCCAACAAAAATGGCCGACGCTCTCTTGTGTGTGAGTGCTGCTGCTAATCATTTGCCGATCGAAACCGTGTCGCCAACTCCACGTCGGGTTATGCTAATTGTTTCCATTAATTAAACCGAAAAAAAATCCTATATATATATATAAATGTAACGTGCGGCTGTGACGACGGCGGTCGACACTATAAAAAAAAAAAAAACGGTGTAGTTGGCAGATGGCACGCAGTGTTTGTGTAACAAAAAAATTTTTAAATAAACACAAACTGTGTAATTAATTAATGAAGAGAATATACAAAAAAAAAATTACCGTCCACGATACGATATTATTATTATTTTTTTATGATAATCGCCTCTGTATTAAATCAAGGACTCGACGAATCCATTAACGGTCGATCAAACGACAAAAGTCTGGCGAAAAAAAATATTGGCAAAAAACAAAACCGGTACCTACAGGGGCATGTTGGAGGAACACGGGGGAGGTCACAGGTCTAGAAATACGACTACCGGCGAAAGCGTTGAAAGGACAATAATGTGTTAGAAAATATGTATTTTTAGTATTAGGGATGTCCACCCTCCGGCCGGGGTTGATTGTCTATAATGGTTTGTTGCCATTTATTACCCATGTATATTTAATTAACAATATAATATAATGAAAATATAGCAATTGAATATGGTCAAAGTGTAATCCCCCCTCCCTTTTTTGGGGGGTTTCCTTAATAAAAATAAAAAAATTGACCGATTTTTTGAAAAAATTGTATATACTTAAGCATTTTGGTTTTTTTTTTTTGCTTACAGAGAAACGAACAGTCCATCAAAAATGAGCAGGGGATCTCCCAGGAGCGAATCGAGTCTGCCGCCGTACGAAGTGCCCCTGTTGGCCACTGTATCGCCGGGCCGTTCGCCACCCGGTTTCGCCGCCGCCGACGCGCTGGATTTCAGCACCAAGAGGCCCGCCAGTCCGGTGTCTCCGCCGTCGTCGGCCATGAACCTCAGTGGCGACGCTGGCGGTAACGACGACACGCCCATCGACCTGACCACCAGAAATAAAAAAATGCGTCTCGACTCGTCGACGTCCAACAACGACATTTACGCCAGGATGAGCCGTCCATGGGCGCAGTACACGACGCCGGTCGCGCGGCCCATGTCCAGGGCCGACATGATGACGCCGCCCAACGAATCTCCGGCCGTGCACATGTGGAACGGCGGCAAACACGGCACCAAACTGTCTTACGGCGGCGCGTTCCCGTCGGCGGCCACCAGCGACGCGACCAAGGCGCTGGAGAAGATGTGCGAGCTGAGCAAGCTCCAGGACGAGCCCGCGCGGACCGTGTTGGCGCCCAGCTCGGGTCGGCACAGCGCGTGGCAGTCGCACTGGCTCAACAAGGGCGCGGACCAGACCAAAGACGTGCTTAAGTGCGTGTGGTGTAAGATGAGCTTTCCCACGTTGCAAGCCATGTCGGCGCACATGGCCGAGACAAAACACGGGACCGCCGCCGCCGCTGCGTCGCAAGGCCTGCAACCGCCACCCCCGCCGCCGCCGGTGCCCGTGTCCTCGTCTTCGTCGTCCTCGCACAAAAACGATCTCAACATGCTGATGAAGGAGACCATGCCGTTGCCGAGGAAACTCGTCCGCGGCCAAGACGTTTGGCTGGGCAAGGGCGCCGAACAAACCAGACAGATACTCAAGTGCATGTGGTGCGGCCAGAGTTTTAGGTCGTTGCAAGAAATGACCACACACATGCAACAGACTCAACATTATACGAACATCATCTCGCAGGAGCAGATCATATCGTGGAAGTCTGCCGATGAGAACAAGTCGTCTTCGGGCGGCGGGAACACTTCGGCCGCGGCGGCCGCCGCCAGTTCGTCGCTGACCGGTTCGGCCGGTTCGTCGGCCAATCACGTGAGCGCCGTGTTGACCTGTAAAGTGTGCGACCAGGCGTTCAATTCGCTCAAGGAGCTCAGCGTGCACATGGTGAAGAACTCGCATTACAAAGAGCACATGATGCGGTCGATCACGGAGGGCAGCAACAGGCGCCGGCAGACCCGGGAGAAACGCAAGAAGTCGTTGCCGGTGCGCAAACTATTGGAACTCGAACGGGCCCAACACGAAGTCAAGAACGGAGACGGCGGCGGCGGTTATGCGACCACCGGCGGATTCAAATCGGCGGCCACCGACAGCAATCACAGGTTGGGCCGTATCATATGCGAGAAGTGCGGCGAAAAGGTGGACGTGGCCGGGTTCATGGAACACTTGCGGGTGTGCGTCACTATGACGCCGGACCAAAAAAATCTACTCAAGACGGCGTTGATGTCGCAAAACGCCGCGCTGTCCCCGGAACTGTTGTCCAGGGGCGGCGGCGAAAAGAGACCAAAGAAAGAGGACAGATCTCATGGGTCCGGTCCGATAGCCGACTTGTCCACCAAATCGGGCGGCGGCACGTCTTCGCCGTCCGTTCTGAACGCCATCGAGAAACTCATCGAGAAGAGCTTCGACTCGCGACTGCGTTACGGCACGTCGGCCTCCGGCACGTCCATTGGCGAAAGCATACTGAAACGATTGGGCATCGACGAGAGCGTGGACGCCACCAAACCGATAATGGACGCGCAAGCCATGAACCTGTTGAGAAGCTACCAGTCGATGGGCGGCGGCCGTCACGAACGCAGCGGCAGCGAGTCCAGTTCCATGTCGCCCGAGTTGGCTGCCATGCGCAGCGATTCGACCACGCCGGACAGGAAATCATCGTACGACCCGTCGTCCGACTACCAGCGCATGCGATCCGTCACGCCCAAATCGGCGGCCGACCGGCACTCGCCGTCCGCCAAGTCGACGGCGGCCAAGAGCGACACGGCCGCCGACGTGAAGAGCGAGGCTGCCGACGACGAGTTCGAGGTGAAAAAAGAGTACGTGGACGACGACGACGACGTCGTCAAGAGCCCGTCGGACGCCAGAGTCAGCCGGGAGTCGGCCGAAGCGGCAGGCGAAGATGTGAATGGCGGAGGATCGAGTAGGGGGCCTACCCCCACCGGAATCAAAAGTCCGGCCAGCCCCGCTGGCAGCGACAAGTCGGACAGGCCCAAACAATCGGGAAGCTCGTCCAGCCTGGGCGCGCTATCGTCGATGTTCGAAAGCTTGACTAACGGCCCTTCGGCGGCAGCCAACGGCGGTGGTTCCGGCGAGGGCGGCGGTGGCGGCAAAACCAGCAGTCATCCGTTGGCCGCGCTCCAGAAACTGTGCGACAAGACGGAAAATCACCATCAACACCATCACCGGCCCAGCAGCCGATCGTCTTCCAACGCTTCGGCCACTAACGGTGGCGGACCAGGGCAGTCGATGTCACCACCGGCGTCTGGCGCCGGCGGAACTGCACCCGGGGCCATCCTCGCGTTTAGCTGGGCGTGCAACGACGCCGTCATGACCGCCGACTCGATAATGAAGTGCGCGTTCTGCGACACTCCGTTTATCTCAAAAGGCGCGTACAGGCACCATTTGTCCAAAGTACACTTCGTCAAAGAAGGCATCACGCCCGAACCGATCATGTTGAAACAACCGCACGCCGGTAACGGTTCGTCGTCCGGTGGACAACAACAGTCCGGTGGCGGCGGGTCGTCATCGTCGGCGCCGTCGCCGTCGTCGTCCGCGCACAAATCGCCCAACCACCATCACCACCACAACAACAACAACCATCACAACAACAACAACAACATCAACAACAACGGTTCGCCGGCGTCGTCGTCCGGACTGGCATCGTCCGGCGCCAAAAGCCCGGACAAGGCGGCCCTCAACAACAGTTACGACGAGAGTCCTCATTCCAAATTCCTCAAATACACCGAACTGGCCAAACAGCTGTCGAGTAAATACGTCTAGTCATCGTTTCTCAATAATATTATATTATATTATTATTATTATTATTATTTTAATTAATTATTATTATATTTACTAATTATATATCCCCCCAACCTAATTTTTGTCGTACCTTATCTATATCTATATCTCACACAATTGCCGCCCAGCTTTAACCGAACCGGACACAAAGGTTTCTTTAACTTCGGACCCTCAGACAAGAATATATATATATACTATTATTTAAAGAAATACAATTTTATTATAAGATCCGATGGAGCCCGGAGTGACTTTTAAACAAAAATTTAAAAAACATTTATCGTCTAAAACTATAGAGTATACATATATATATATATATCTATATACACAATATATAATATGTTAAATGAACCTACACATTATACGAAGAGGAAACCGCGCGAATTTTCGGTTAATATTCTACAATCACACATACGCATGTATACGCAATTAGTGTTACGAAATTAATCGTTCAATTATATTTAAATAATTTAAATAACCAATAATAATAATAACGACAAACGTATACAAATTGTTCAATACAACATAATATAATTAATGCGCTAGTGATGAAAAATACAATATGATTATTATAAACATTTTTTAAAATAATATGTACGATTGTTTTTTTTTTACACAAAATTTTTTATTATTGTTGTTGTTCGTACATTAATTTCTGCTCATCTATAAAAATAATATTCGAGATATTATAATATTATCTATATATATACATTTACATAAAATATTACGTTCTGTATACCTTATAAACTATTATTATACTAGTTTTTTAAACGGATGTTGAAGAAAATATGTTGTAAAAAAAAAAATTCGGGTGTTAACCTTAATTTTTTTTTTTTTTAATTAAAAAGGCTGTTTACGTCAACTTATGTATAACGATTAACGCTTAAGATTTATTATATATAATATAGTAGAGTTAATTATTTTTAATCGACAACGATAGTTTTTAAAGATAATATTTTAAACAATAATAATGCGCATCATCATTATTTTTATTCCCTCCCTCCCTCTTTTAGATAATGTATACTTATATATATTAATTAATTATTATATAATATAAATATGTATGTATTTTTTGTTATTCGTCTTGCGACATAAAAAAACCATTCCAATTTTTAAGCTATTCGATAATATATTTAAGAAAAATAAAAAAACACTATTTGTTCTTTGAAAAAAAAAAAATATATTCAGTACGTCGTGTTCCTATGGATGTGTAAAATTTGATTATATATAATATTAGAAATAATAATAATACAAATATTATTATTATTATTTGAAGATGTAAAACGGATTGGTTTTTTCATTTTTCGTATTCGACGTATATATATAGTACTTATCCGGTAAGTCGAAGCTCAACACATGTATGTATACGTTTACCTCCCCTCAAGATTCAACTTTTTTTTTTTTTGTAGAAGTAGTTTTTAAACCAGCCAGTAAGCGTAATAGTTACCATTTGAAAAATAATTAACTTTATTTTTGTTTTGTTGGTTATTTAATTTAAGGGGAATGTTTTTTTTTTTAAAGCATTTTTTTAATAATATAAAATATATACTTCCCATACAACCGCGCACGTGATTTTCTGTCTGTTTTCTTTTCGAAAATCATCAAATCAAATAACGTTCATTGATCATAATACATTTAGTGTAAAACATACAAACGTTAGTAAAAAAGTATACGGCTAGGTATTTTGCTACCGCCCAATTAATTTCGCCATAGTTATCATCATTAAAATATGATAGTATTTGTTTTTGTTTAACATCTTTTTTATTTATAATATTATATAATTACATTGAAATGGTATAACTAAAAAAAAAAAACAATATTGCGTTAATTAAATGTATAACGAAAACAAAAATGTCCTATTTATGTATACGAATAAAAATGTTTATTATATAAAACGTGTAATCAATCCATGAATAATAATTTAATAATTATAATAACGATAATAGTGATACTATTATTATGATTTTGTTTACAACGTGTGTTACTATTACTATGTATATTTTTTTTATTTGTTTTTATTTTTAGTTTTTATCGACGTCATTGAAGCAAAAAAAAAAAATTAAAAAAAAAAAATTCCTTAAATTTGTTGTAAATACTTTATTGAATATTATTATTTTTTAAATAGGAAAATACACACAAATGTCGTGTCATGTAATATAAATGTACTTATTTATTTATTTATAACGATGTAGGCAATATTTGTTTTAATTATTTTAACAAATAATAAAAGAAAATTTTCAATTCGAAATCGATGCGCTGTTTTTTTTTCTTCTTCTTTATATTAAAACTATCCTGCGTTGAAATCCTTCCTGTTTTGTGTGGCAATGCCACACAAGTACAGTTTTTATATTATTATGAGTATCCCGCACCGGTTTACCTAACCGTGTTATGGTCTAACTGTATTGGTATGCAATACGGTGTACAACAGTGATTAGCAGTGTTATCAGTGAATAATAATATTATTGTTGATAAAATAAATTATGTTGTGCTCGTACAACAATTGGGTTAACGATGATCGTTAAAAAAAAATTCACTGTCCCAGTCCAGATAATAGTGCGCTACCAAGTCTAAGTGCTTCAGAAACGGCTAAAGTTATCCAACAGAGCTCATTGTAATTGGTCGCATACTATTACACTACTGTTGTCGTCCCCATATTGTTATAACTGTTAACCTTGAACTATATTTTTGACCCGTCGCAAAATAATAGTATAATAATCCCAACAACGCAATACTATAATAATACAGTAAAGGCTAAACAAATCATTATTCATTATCAGACACGTACTGCACATAATTATTATTATTATAGTCAAATGTTGTCTGTATATACAGTGACGTTGGTGGTGATGGTTTAAATTATAAATTATTCTATATTATGTTTTTTTTTTTTAAATATTATATTAACGACGATTAACGCAAATCTAAGCGAATGGCTATTCCAAGTTACCAGTTTTAAGAAAATAATCGTACTTACTTAGCTTAGAACTTACTCTTGGCCTATGCCATACTCTGCTAACCCCCTGCTCTTTTCTGGACGATTTTTAGTCACCTTTAAAACACTTGAAACTCAAAAGCTAACATTTTGATCGATACTCAGATGGTGGTTTGCGGCTTCTCTCAATTTCTGTCGACCCATTTCTCCTTTTCAATTGCACCATATTATATACTTATTAACTGCAACTCTAATATTCGTTCCAAGACCACGGGAATAATATCATTATCAGACGATAATTTCATTGAGCCGTTAATAAGGTATTCACCGCACGTTTATCGCGCGCTGGCGGAATGTGTATACTGCACTTGTAAGTCGATTGAAACGTTTTGGACCTCACACGAGCATATTAAAAATTGGTATTTACTCGTTTAATTTGTACAACACGTCCGTTTGTCATTATAATATTATAAAAAAAAAACGCCAGTCACTGCGTTTTAAATCCCAATATTATACACACCCTACAGGTGGTTTCTTTTTGGAATTATAGGCCTTGTATAGAGACCACCACGTTCTTATTTAGTACAAATCAAATCCGCAAGATTGTTGGTATTTTAATACCTCGGCGAGCTATTTAAATTATTGTCGTTAACTTACCGATAAGGTCTCCTGATTATGGCCATTACTTCTTTTTTTTTTTATTTGTGCTTGCTTGTTTTCCACAATCACCCGTTAGCCGTTTGAGACAATTTGTTATAGGTAAACAGTGCAAGTACCTACTTGTACAGCATAGAATAACAACCTAACCATCTGGTCCTGATCTCGATTATATTGCCTATTGGAGGAGCCTGCGTGAACATTATTACTGTACTTAAATTCGAACGACTAGAAAGCATCTGGAAAAATATTTTGTTCGTGTGACATAACGTAAGATGTCGCGTGTTGCGAGAATTTCTGACCTATTAGTGTGTCACGCTATTATAAGAAAAAGGAGAAAAAAACGTGCAACTCCCTTGTTGATATGGTATGCCTATAATCAGATTGGTCACAACATATTGTAAAGTTTGCTTTAGAGTTTTAGTGATTTCTGATGTTCGATCAAGCGCATCGTTTCCGGTTTCGCTTGTACGTTATGGGCATTTTAGTTACTTGGCTAATGCACAGAATATAGAACTATATATATATATATGAATATTAATAGAGGTTGACGCTGGTCTTTGGGAGAGCTTATTTTTTTTATCCAAAAGCTAGCTATTTTTTCGCGAGATAAATCTTTAAGAAAAGAACAAAAATGTTCTTTACCAGGCCGTCATTGTTTTTTTTTTGCTTTTTTTTTTTATGGCACCGATACCACCACCGGTGCGGTTACAAACGTTTTTGATTAGAAACGCACGATTGCCACGCCGTTAAGGAGGTTTAATGCGGGGGCCCACAACGTCTTTGCCGATGGGATTTACAAGGGGCGGGCAAAGGCTGCAGCCGAGTCCCCCGGCACTGCCGTAGAGGAGAGAGAGACCGTCGCCACAATAAAGAAAACAAAACGAGGATAGGTCCGCTATCAACTACCGCTGGCAAATTGCATATCAGCCAAAATCCGCATCGTTCCCTCCGTCTCTGCCCTAACCGGTAGGCGTCTCAAGGATATACATTTATTTATACGGTTCTTCACTCTGGGCCAAAAAAAAAAAAAAAACAAACAAACACTGTCCTGCCGTCAAGCGGGCGACCCGCGTAAATCCGTTTGTCCGTTTTCTTCGACAAATCTTGTCGTTGTAACTCTTAAACCACCACCCCCCCCCCTGCACGTTGTGAGTATACACACACAGACAGCGTAGAAGCGGCCGCAGCGTTTTCCAAGACGACGTTTTTGGAATGACCGACACGGACGAGATGGTGTGTGTGTGTGGGGGGGAGGGGGTGTGCTTATAAGGGATGTAACACAGCACAACAGTAGCGTACAGGATTAAGGGATGGGGATGCGACAGGGGTATAGTTTTGTGCCGGACGTGCCAAATTTCTGCCGTCCTATCTGATCGGAACCGGCACCGGCTCACTCCGCCTATAAAACGTCTCTGGTCGGATCTCGTGGTTAATTTATTTGATTCTCTTTCTCTCTCCTCGGCCGCCCCTCTTGTTCTTTGTCTCTCGATTATTTATACACCTCCGTCCGTATCCACCTCTCTCGCGCAGGAACAGATCCAAGGTCCTCCGCGCGAGCAGCGTTATATATGTGCAATTCGAATAATTTACACTCCTTTGGCTGTCGTGGCCGGATTTTCTGTTTACTATTGTCGTTACAGTCGTGTGTGTACGTCTATACACAAGGTCTATTAAAAAACAAACATTTGGAACGTCTTAGTAAAAAAAAAAAAAAAAATCATTAGGTATCTGGTATACACTAAAAAAGGCACAGATATGTATATTCATAGTTTAAACTATATGATTGCAGATATTACATAAAATACTCTATTTGTGCAGTCTGATAATCTGTTTAATTGTGTTTGAGCATTAAACATTTTTTTTTCTTTCTTGGTTTTTAAAAAATCAAGTAGGCAATAGTATGAAATGTATGGTAATTGAAATGAAAAAAAAATGCTATGTTGATATAGCTTTAAGAGCTTGTCGTCAATAGGATTTCTTACCAATGCGATGAAATTATTTGAAAAAAAGTCTGTGTGTTACATCTTATAAGTGCTTAATTTTCAATTTTCTCCTAAACACAAAGAAGCGATAAAAATGGTTCTAAACTCGTCAGAAAGAACTTAAAAAAAAAATGTTTAGGCAAACAT